TAAAACTATTTTTAAGACCTTTATATTTGTGTGAAATATTTTTCTCTTAAAATTGTTGATGTAATTTCCATAGTTTTCTATGTTGTTGACTGTATAAACACCATCCCAATAGGGAAATCTAACTTTTTCAGTTAAAAGAACATCTTTTATTAGAATCACTTTTAAAATCTGTAGTCAGTGTACTTTGGCATATGGCACAAATAATGTATTTATAAATTAGAAGCTAAAAGAGCTGAACAACATACCTTAGAAAATGGGAATCTTTCAGGGCTTATAATAAGCTTAGCCCTGGAACTTCCAGTCTTCTCATTTAACTTGGTCTTTATCCCAATTATGGACATGACCCAAAAGATAATTAATGCAAGATTCATAGGGGAGTTTCTATTTGGAAGTTATCTGCAACACTGCTAGAACATATCACTTTTGTGCCCCATGAATTAAAATAATGATGACAAAATTTCAGTTGTTAATTCATCTTAGAGTGGTGTCGGGGCTAGTATATTACATATCTCTTTCATTCATGAAATTAAAGTCTTCATACTTTCATGTGAGAAAAAGTTTGTCTTTATCATGAACTGATAAGTTTTGTTTGGTCGGACAGATAACATAATCATTTACTATTTTGCCTTGACTGCCAGCAATTTCAGAGTTAGCTTGCAGTGCTTATGCAGCTAAAGTTTTCATATAATTATCTTCATCAAAATAGTCTCTTTCTCATATCATTGTTTAATTTTTGTTTTATTACTTGTATAATTTTTTTTAATTATAAATATCCTTAATTCCTTTTTGAAAGTTTGGTGGTAGATAAATTCAATTAATTCAACAAACAATTATTGAGTACCTAATTCTTGCTGTTAAACTCTGTTACACTGGCAGTAGTGAAAAAGACAAGCTGTAGCTTCAGGAAGATGGGGGGAAACCTGTTTTCAGAAATTCATAGGAAATGCATTGGATCGTAAAATGTGTATTTTGCCAGGCATTTAAAGTGCCCATAAGTATTCTCTTATTGCTAGTTAAAAGTCACCATTAGGATAGATTGCCATTACCATGCCTCTCTGTTTTCTAGAGCCATTTTGTTCTACTCAGATTTAAAATTCAGAACTGGAAGCTGGGTCTCACATAACCTCTGAGAGCAATGCACATTAAGCCCGGCCTTTTCTGTTCTCAGACATCCACAGAGACGAGTGAAGCCGGCCTTTGCAGGCGCACACTGCCTGCGCCAGGCCTTTCAGCTTCACTCTGGGGAAGAGATACCGTGTGTGGGATGACCAGCGGTGGTCCAGGGAAACCTTTGAAAAAGATGACAGTTTGTCTGATAGGCATTATAAAATGATGTTAAAAAGAGAAGGCATCCCTACTTTGAGTCTGAAAAGGAAAGAAAGCCTTCTTTCGTTGTTCACATTGACCTTTTATGAAGATGATTCTCTCATGCTTTGTGTAACTTTTTGAGTGTGTCCCCATTCCTTTGAAAATACAAAATACTACATAAAGGCGTAGAAGATTATAAATATGGAGGTAGCCAATTTCTTAAATGGTTGGCCCATAAGTATCATTTATGAAAACATAGGGATTCATACTTTTCACTTCCCATCACCTAACTTTTAAAAACTAGATTTGTTGATTATTCTGACCTAGATATCTCATTCCCTGTCCATATGAAAGAGAATGTAAGCTGAAACCTTACATTGGCTCAGTGGTAGAGTGTCGGTCTGCGGACTGAATGGTCCCAGGTTCGATTCCGGTCAAGGGCATGTACCTTGGTTGCGGGCACATCCCCAGTAGGAGGTGTGCAAGAGGCAGCTGGTCGATGTTTCTCTCTCATTGATGTTTCTAGCTCTCTATGTCTCTCCCTTCCTCTCTGTAAAAAATCAATAAAATATATTTTTTTAAAAAAGAAAGAAAGAAAGAAAGAAAGAAAGAAAGAAAGAAAGAAAGAAAGAAAGAAAGAAAGAAAGAAAGGCCTGAGTTTTTCTGGAACTGATTACCCTTTAAGTCAGGGTGGGCCGTACAAGGCCTGCAAAATCATTTGGTCTGGCCCTGCCAAGGCATTAAGGGTGAGTTAATTAAATGTTTGATCAAATATAGCAGGCTAATTTTTAAGTTGATAATTTTGCATGGCTTATAAATGATGTTATAAATATCCAAACGTCCCATGCCTGCTTTAAGTGAACGCCCTTGCCTTCACTCCTCACCTTCTCATTCTGGCTATTGGCCTTTTGTTTATTAGAACCATCCCAGAATGTACATGTGGTAATCTCCATAGCCTGTGAGTATGTGACATTACATGGCAAAAAGAAACGAAGGCAGCAGATTGCATTAAATATACTACTAATCAGTGTACCTTGAAATAAGGAGATCCTGCTTTTAATCTGGGTTAGCCCATGTGATCTTCAAGTGCAGATGAGAAGAGCAGGGTGAAGTGACATGAGGGAACTTGATCTATCTTTGCTAGCTTTGAAGATTGAGAAAGGCATCCCCCCAAGCCAGGCTATGCAGGACACTTCCAATAACTGAAAAGGCAAGGAAACCTGTATCCTAGAGTCTCCAGAAAGGAAGACTCTGCTGACACTTTTGATGTCACTTTTGACATTAAAAAAAGAAAAGTATCAGCTTTTCGACCTATAGAACTGTTAGATAACTAATTTGTGTTGATTTAAGGCTTAAAATTCAAGCCACTAAATGTGTGGTAATTTGATATGGCTGAAATAAAAAAAAAAAACCTAACACATTTACTGATGTTCAAGAGAAAAAGATGAAGATGAATCTCAAGGCACTCCATCTAGGAAAAGATTTAGTGTTGGTGGACATTGCAGTTCTTGCTGTCAGGGAGATAGAAGGCCAATGCATTTCCCATTAATACAGAAGATCTGTAGGTGCCTACTGCCGGTGTACTGAACTGAAATAGAATGCTTCAAAACAAGGTATCTTTGCTTCAGTCTGCTTCCAGTCAGCCTGTGTGGCTATCATTAGAGTGATCTTTTGATAGAACAGAATTAATTGCGTTCTCTCTCTCTCTCTTTTTTTTTTTTTTTTAAATATATTTTATTGATTTTTTACAGAAAGGAAGGGAGAGAGATAGAGAGTTAGAAACATCAATGAAAGAGAGTCATCAATCAGCTGCCTCTTGCACACCCCCTACTGGGGATATGCCTGCAACCAATGTACATGCCCTTGACCGGAATCAAACCCGGAACCCTTCAGTCCCCAAGCCGATGCTCTATTCATTGAGCCAAACCGGCTCAGCAATTGCGTCCTCTTTTAAGTCCATTTTGTGATTTCCAGAAACTTTAGATAAAAGCCCAAGCATATAGCATGGCAGTCAAGGCCTCCAAAACAGGAGTTCCTGCTACTGCTCCATGTCACACTCCTCCCTTTTCTTTGCACCTATGCTCAGCCAAGGTAGCATTCTCACCTTCTGTGATCCTACTATATAACATTTTGCACTCTTTCTCCTTCGTACAAGTCATTTCCTTCACCACCAGTGAGTGTCCTGCCAGATCACCATACCTGTGGCAAAGCCCTGTGAAGTCTTCCAAGACTCAACTCAAGCATTACTTCCCTGGAAAATTATCAAATAAAATAGTTTGCTCTGTCCTTTATGCCATATTGTGAGTTTAATACCTTATGATAGTAAATTTATTTCCATTTCATTTCCTTATACCAAATTGCAAACTTCTTGAGGGCAATAACAGGTCTCATATAACATCTCTGTGGAATTTAGTATCTCACACAACTTGTGAGTACTCAATAAATAAATATAAAAATGAGTGGATGGTTAGGTCACCTAACTTGGCTATCTAGGAAATGTTTTATATTTTAAATAAAATTCTGACACTCACCAGCTTACTTTGCTTGATACTCCTCCTCTTTCTGTCATTTAATTTAACACTTGCATATTTGTGATTTCATAAAAAATGAAAACATTGAAATAATCTGTTTTGTGTATGACTCTATTTGGAAAAGTTATTATATGTATTGTATTTGTTTTTATCCTTAACACATTGAGAATACTCTGTAATTTAATGGAATAGGGTGGCAAAAAACAAACTTTTATATGCAGCGAGACTCTATTCTTTTAAGTATATAATTGCACAGTGTAAGATGGCTCCTCGTTCATTCAGTGGACTTGGAGCTTCTTCATGAGAATTTCAGTGAAATTACCAACTGCCCCTGTCCCTCACTGTGAGTTAAAGTAGCTCAGTTGGTAGAGTATCGGACTCTTAATCCCAGGGTTTTAGGCTTGAGCCCCATGTTGGATGCCATCAATGTTGGTTCTGCAAGGGTTCAGGAAGCCCCAGTTCAGGATGCCATTAATTCTAGGGTTCTTAGCATTAAGAAGGGCTCAGCAATCTGGAGGAAGGCTGCATGCAACTGAAGTAAGAACCAGAGATGAAAGATAATTTTGAAGGGCATTTGGATTCACAGGAGCCTGACTGAAGAAATCAGGTTCTCCTTGTCTTAAGACCCCTTGCTTTTTATTAACACAAATTGTGCTAAGGCAAGGTGAAGATACACTTCAAAGGTTGGGGTTTCATACAGGAGAATTGTCAGATTGGGAAATAGCCTAAGGCTGTTCAGGTAGGAGCAATCACATGTAGATTAAGATGTCCTGAGCTGTCTGGCAGCAAACAATCATCCTTTTCAGGTTTGGGGAAATGCCTTTAGCCATTCCAACAGGCGATAACATATGTGACCCAGCCCTTGTTGAGTCCCCAAGTCCCATAAACCTTTTGATAAAACTTCCCATGATGACGTTGTGGAACCGGCTCTGGCATGAAGTCTACTTTGGAAGCCTTTAGCCCTCTCTCTCTTGCCGGAGTGTTATTATGCATAGTTGAAAGTAAATTTATCTGAACACAGTCTATCATAGTTTGCATGTTAACTTCATGCTATTACCATAGCTAGTCCTGGTTTGTTTGAGGCCAGTTGAGTATTTTTCTATATGAATAACTGTTTCCCTGAATAACCATCAGCAACAATTGTTTTGTTCTTGCCTTCAGGTACTACAGTGCAACCATCCTGCAGATGTCTGGTGTTGAAGATGACAGACTCGCAATATGGCTGGCTTCTGTTACAGCCTTCACAAATTTCATTTTCACACTTGTGGGAGTCTGGCTTGTTGAGAAAGTGGGTCGCAGAAAGCTTACCTTCGGAAGTTTAGCAGGTGGGTGCCTGGATGAGGATTCAGTTATTACATTTCCTCTAACGACAACAAGTTAACCTTCCAAAATATAATACCAGTAGCATTTTGGATTCTGTTTCTAGCCAAACAATAGAACTCGTCTAGACAAAACGTTTTTGTTTGTTTTTTTTAAAGAGAACTTAGAGAACTTTATAATATATATCTAGAAAATAGAATGTGCATAATAACCAGAACTGTAAGAACAATTTAAATCTACTGTATTTTGCTGTATTTTTTAGTTCTGCTCAAAGGTACAAAAGTGACAAAAATAATCATTTTTTGTTCTTCCTTGGTTGAAAAACTTGGTATTCATGAACTCACTTTTTAGCAAAGGATTTTTTTTTCTCTCTAATTTTGGAATAATACAAAAGTACATTTGGACCATGTCACTTCTAAGCTCTTTCAACAGTAAATTCTGGTTCGTTAAGTTTGTTTTCAGTCATAGCTAAGTAGAACAAAACCTTTCTCACTTTCAAGTATCCTCTGTCTTTAAATTCTGCTCATTTCATTTATTGTTTCTCTGTAAAGCTGACAGATGGGACCCATCTTTGCCATGGTCTTCACATGGTTGCATATAGTATATTTTCCATGGTTGCATATAGTATATTTTCCATGTATTCCTACTTGTCTATTACCTATCATCAACTGGTTCCTTTATACATTTACCTAGAGTAAGAAGACATTTTCTCATTCAAATGCAAATTTCCGGGCCAGCATTAATTATATTTTGTTGTAACCAAATACGTATACCTCAAGCATTAATCTAATGGAACTGCTTCAGGCCTTGTTCCAGATTTGATGAGAAAATACATTCCTAGTTTCTCACTCAGAACACATACTCTTTCCTACCTTCAACCCAGAAACAGGCATGGAGTGCACCACCCTCTGTGCTTGTCTGCTAGTATGAATCCATTAACACAGGTTGAACTATAGTATCAGCTGAGGAGAAGGAAAGGGAAACACTGATTGAGAGTCAAAGGAATTACAACAGCCATGATACACAGGGAATGGAGGGGAAGTGAAGAAAGGTGAGGAACAAGTGAAGGTTTAAAAAACCATCTTTTGCTATAAAAGACTAAGCAACCATTAGACTGAACAACTGGAGCAACCAGTCAACCAGTCACTATGATGCGCACTGACCACCAGGGGACAGATGCTCAACACGGGAGCTGCCCCCTGGTGGTCAGTGTGCTGCCACAGCCTACCTCCCTTAGCCCTCCCCCCAGCTGGCTGGCCAACTTCCTGGTGTCCCTCCCCAAGACCGGCCAGCCCCTGGATAGACCTCGATATTGCCTACCTGGGCCTCTAGTACATTTATAAAACTGCTGAAGAAGCCAGAAGTGTTTGCCTAGGAAAAAGGTCTAAAGCAGCGGTTCTCAACCTTTCTAATGCCACGACCCTATAATATAATTCCTCATATTATTTTCATTGCTACTTTATAACTGTAATATTGCTACTGTTAATGAATCATAATGTAAATATTTGTGTTTTCCGATGGTCTTAAGCAACCCTGCTGCTGGTTCTCAAACTGTGGGTTGAGAAAGCTGCTATAGAGCCTAAGACCATCAGAAGACACAGATATTTACATTATAATTCATTAACAGTAGCAAAATTACAGTTATGAAGTAGCAACGAAAATACTTTTATGGTTGGGGGTCATCACAACATGAGGAACTGTATTAAAAGTTACGGCATTAGAAAGGTTAAGAACCACTGCTCTAAAGGGAAAGCTCATAGAAAACCTTATTCTAGCAGATGGTCTAGGGGACATAGGTTTGTACTTAATATAAGAAAAATATGTCTAATACTCAGAGCTATCCAACAATGAATTTGGCTGCTTCCGTAGGATGGTAAACTTAAAATAAAATAAAAAGAAAGAAAAAGAAAAAGTATAGTACCCTCAGGTAGTGATGTTGTGCTAAAAATACATTTCTGCTGTTGGTCGGAAATTGGATTTGCTAACCCCCGAGGCTCAGGTCAACTCTAAGAAGAGATAACAACCACTTTAAAAGTTTTAAAATAGATACCCTTCCGTTTTGACCGGGTCTCCATATGTTGCTCCCTTAAGAGGTCTTTTTTTTTTTTTTAATATATTTTATTGATTTTTTTTTACAGAGAGGAAGGGAAAGAGATAGAGAGCTAGAAACATCGATGAGAGATAAACATCGATCAGCTGCATCCTGCACACCCCCTACCAGGGGTGTGCCCGCAACCAATGTACATGCCCTTGACCGGAATCGAACCTGGGACCTTTCAGTCCGCAGACCAACACTCTACCGCTGAGCCAAACCAGTTTTGGCCTTTTTTTAAAATAGAATTTCCTGTTTTCTTAAACTTGGGAATTGGCTTTTGATATCTGAGAAAACTGCTGATTTCAAGATCCGTAGAAAACGTCTGTTCCTTCACCTGTACTCCAGTGAGACACTTTCTCCTCAGTTCTGCAGGGTGTGGAGGTGCTGTGGAGCCAGACTGTTTTGGTTCGAATGGGCTGACTTTGAGCAAGTTTCCATCTTCTCATTTGTAAACCGTAGTCCCTGCTTCCCAGGAATATAATGAGGATTGAACCACCTGTACACGCACAGCATGTAAAGCACTGCCTGACGGGGAGGAACGTGCCCAGAGCAGTGTGGCTATCACAGCATTTTATTACTGCCCACCGGGGAGTCTTCATTGTTTTAACTATAATGTGATGTCAGTTGACAACATCAGAATGCAGGGGCTTTCCTGACCTCTTCCAGCTGGCGTCACGTTTCATCGCTCAGTATAAGTTCTCTGCCCCAAGGAAGTTCATGCTGTCCAGAGGAAGCATTGAGACAGTTATATGGCCATAGCCTGTTTGGCTCAGTGGATATAGAACACCGGCCCAAGAACTGAAGGGTCCCAGGTTCGATTCCTGTGAAGGGCACTTACCTCAGTTGCAGGCTGGATGGAGACCACAGGAAGCAACCAATTGATGTGTGTCTCTCTCTCATCCATGTTTCTCTTTGTCTCTCTGCCGCCTTTCCACTCTCTCTAAAAATCAATGGGAAAATATCCTCAGCCAAGGATTAACTCCCCTCCCCCCAAAAGGCAGCTATTTGGTGGAGAGACCAAGAAATTTCTCATGAGCCACCTATAAGCACCTTTCTTTCCTGCCATGTTCTCTTTTCAACCAACACCACCAATATCCCAGCTCCATCTGTGACCAAACCAAACAGTGGTGCCTCCTTCTTGTGATAGCTCTTCCATGACATGGATACCTGATTTACTTGTGATGTGGCCAATTAAAGTGATGATATAGCCGTGGAGAGGTCATTGGAGGGAGGGGGAGGAAACATGTGTGATACTTTAAAAATAAAATAATGATGTGGAAATTGCAGTGGTTTAGGGGGAGAGGCCTGGGTTTTTGTCACAGGTCTCCTCTTTACCTGCACATATAGGTGAAATAGTGCTGTTTTTGCACTTCTGGTTTTTAATTGTGATTAAATAGGCCCCACTAGAGCATAATGACCAATGGAGTTTACACTCTTCAGAAGAAAAGGCACTGCTAAACAGCCACTAGTATACAAAATCTTCTTGGTGTCTGCCAGGGATTTGTCCAGGACCCCCTCAGAGGCTGAAATCCATAGATGCTAAGTCATTATGCGAAAGGGGGAATTCTTGGGTCTGACCTACGTACATCCTGCCATATATTTAAATCATCTCTATATTATTTACAATACCTGGTACAGTGTGAACACTACACAAGCAGTCTTTATACCCTATTGTTTAGGGCAGTGATCGGCACACTCATTAGTCAACAGAGCCAAATATCAACAGTACAACAATTGAAATTTCTTTTGAGAGCCAAATTTTTTAAATTTCTCCTAAAGCCACTACTTCAAAATAGACGCCCAGGCCGTGGTATTTTGTGGAAGAGCCACACTCAAGGGGCCAAAGATCCGCATGTGGCTCGCGAGCTGCAGTTTGCTCCTTTTGTGTTTTATAACTTTTCATTATATTGGGTTAAAAATAGTAGGATAGCTTATTTCTAAATAATTTTTGAATAGGTATTCACTCTGTAAAAATAACTGCAAATACACTATTTAGCAAAGAAACTGTTTATGCAGAAGAAATATAAAACACGCAGTCCAAGTCCATGAATAATTTTAAATGTAGGGCATTCTGTGGTGTTCTGAATTTCACTATTTTCAAGGCTTGCTCAGAGAACTGGTCTTTCTTGTAAATGTTACAAACTTAATGGAAACCTCTTGGTTCTTTTAATAGAAGGTTTATATCTATGTAACTTGATTGCTTATAAATAGGAAAGCTAGAAGCACTGAGCTGTTTTCCCCCAGATATTTTGGTAGTGGAATATTTCTGAAAGTATCACTCACAGGTGGTCTCACCAGAATTATCCCTGGTACTGCTTTTGTAAAGGGGGTTCTTGTGCTCTGGCCCAGATTTCCAAAATTAGAATCTCTGAAGGTGGGTCTGGAGCATGTGCACTTGAGCAGGCTCACCAGGTGATACTGATGCTCACAAAGTGTGCTGTATCAGAGTGATGGGAAAGGGCATGATTTTTTAAGAGTTCCTAAGCTGAGCCCTGTACCAGGCAGTTACTGTTACTTGTTACCTCAGGTATTTTTAAGAATGCTATTTATCCAACACACTTCACTTCCTGTGGGAGCATGGTTAGGTAGATAATAATAACTTAAAGGGATCAGGAGGGTTAATAGACTTGATCATAACTTGCTGTGTTATGAGCTATACTATGACAATAAGTATTCTTCTTTAAACCTTCATAGTTGATATCAGGAAACCTATTTCATTACGTAGATCACTAAAAGCCTGGTCATTCCTTTCCTGTATCAGAAGGTCATACAACTTTTTTTTTTTCATACTCTCTAGCTGACTTTCTGCCCTTAGGTGACCTGACAGTGGATCAGTCTTATTCTAAATCTAATTTGCTATGTCTAAGTCAATCATCATACATAGAGAGTATTTTTTTTTATCAAACAGCAATTTTTGCTAATAATTTGTTTGAGGTAACTGTGTTTTTTTAAAAAAATCTAATAGTTATCAAGAAAAATGAAACTAGAGCATGGCCCTTTTTGTTTATTCTCATGATGGATGGAATAGTGGGCAGACATTGGAAAACTTTCTTATTTACCATCAGATGTCTCTCAAAAATGAGCCTTTTAAATGATATACATAATCACCATTCCCAGATCTTAAAATAAAAAACAAATATTCCACTTCCAAATATCAGTAGCAGAGAGAAATTAATACATGTGTTATAGTATCATTTCTGGCATCTTAAAGTCTTCAAAGAATGCTATTTTTCTTTAATAAGAAATGCTATTTCAAGTGCTCTTAAAATATTCAGTTTATTACTTTTAGCCTACTGATTTGGGTCTTATGATCAAATGCCATTAGAACAATTTTCTCCGCAGTGCAAGGAACACTGTGAAAATCTGTTGCCTTTCATGGTTCCTGACATGTCAGGCAATCAGTAATGTTGGTTACACTAATGGATTTTGTTATTCTCAGCAATGAAAGCTGTGGGATGTTTTGTTTTTTTTGTTTTCATTTGTTTTGTTTGGGGTTTTTGTTGTTGTTGTTGTTGTTGTTGTTGTGTGTGTGTGTGTTTAATCATTACTAATCTACTCCTTAGCTACATGTCTCACAATGGATGTGCTAATGGAGTTTTTCTGATAATTTGTACTTAGGACAGTTTTTTAATACAGTGGAGAGAGATCAAGGTACTTCTCAGAACTAGTATGTTTTGTCAAACTCAGTCTGCTTTGGAAGAATGTTGTAAGCTATTCTCTAATGCAAACTTTTTTTTTTTTTTTTTAGGTACCACCGTAGCACTCATTATTCTTGCTTTGGGATTTCTCCTATCGGCCCAGGTTTCCCCACGCATCACTTTTAAACCAATAGCTCCGTCAGGTCAGAATGCTACTTGCACAAGATACAGGTGAGACTCTGTGATGATTCCCTTTCCTAAGCTAACTCTGAAAACTTGTTTGATTGCTTGTGCTTTCCTAAAATTTGAGAGATGAGTAGAAACATGCTTATGGGGAAGGTAGGAAGTGGAAAAGTTGGTAGGAAAGGACCACCAGGAAAAGGGACAGTCCAGTACATGTAAATATCTGAAGGTGAAAGTGTTTGAGGAAAAGTGAGTTGTTAGACACAATTTTGGTGATATTTTGGGGGGAGAGTAAAAGTATGGATTGATATAGAATCTAAGCAGGAATACTGGGAAACTATTTTGGGTCATATGTGACTCAATGACATTTACATTTTAATCAGTAATTAAACTTTGCCATGATGTACATGTGTGTTATAGTTGATTACCGTCTGGATATTCTAACAGTCTTCACTGAGTTCCACAGGCATCCCCTCATTCATTTAAGCAGAAAGGAAAGTTCTCTCTCACTCCTGGGGTTCTTCCTGAGGATTAGAAGGTGAAGAGAGTGAAATGTGTACTAGTGGCCAAGGACAGGTTTAAGAGCTCATTAAGTCTATTGATGTACACACTATGTGATGGTCAGATAGACTGAAGAATGCAAAAATGAAAGAATTAAGGACTGAATGATTGAAAAAGTCAGTTAATATATTTGGCAGCAGAGTTTCAAAGTTGGTTTTTTTTTGTTTTTGTTTTTGTTTTTGTTTTTTAATGGTTGAAAAGGCTAGCAACCCCTTTGAAACAATGGCTAGAACAAGAAAGGCCAAGCTGCAAAAAAACATTTCACCCTGGTCGGGTAGCCTGGTTGGTTGGACCATATACCAAAAGCTTGCGGCTTTGAATTCGTTCAGGGCACATAGCTAGGTTGTAGGTTCAATCCTGGTTGAGGCACATGCAGGAAGCAACTGATAGATGTTTCTCACATGAATGGTTCTCCCTCTCCCCTTCTCTCTCTCTTTCTCTTTTCCTCTCCCTCTTTCTCTAAAAATCAATAAAAAATCCTTCAGATGAGGAATAAATTTATATATATATTTCCTCAGCCTCAACTAGATGGACATAAGTCTCAAATCAATGGGTAAATTATTGTACTAATAAATTTATTAATAATGAATAAATAGTTTATTAATGTTTAGTCATCCAGAAGGTATTAAAAAAAGTTTTATGAGTTTCTGATACAGGAAAGAAACAATTACATTTTTAATGATTTATAAAGTTTAAATAAAAATATGTATTTTTATAGGATAGCTCATTGCACAGCAATTTATGATTATCAATCTATTAACCCTCCTGATCATTCTAAGTTATTATCACTTACTAATATGTCATTGTACAACTGGAATGAAGTGAGAAATGTTCTAGTCTTATTTTATCCTGATAAAAAAAAGTGAGAAGCTATTTTTAAAAACAGGACCAATTTTTAGATGCCCTTTAGAAGTCAGCAGATATAAAAAACAATGATTTCTGGTGTGCCTTTTTTCAGAGTAACATACTAGTCTTGGTGGAAATTTGACAGTAGGAATTTATAGTGTGAGTGACTTTATAAAATATGTCTGCAGTCTCTGCACTGATTATATTGTTAAATCATGTTGAGTCATGTTTGTGGGATCATAAAATGAGAAATAGTTATGTTATAAAAGTAGGTGGTATGCTTTCTTCCTGGAATGATCCATACATGAAAATTGAGCAAATAAAACATTTAAAAGGGAGAGTGCGCTTAATATCTATCCTAAGAACAGTTTTTCTCTGTTTTGGAAGGTAATATAGTTCTGCCTAAAAAAATGAAACCCCTGTGCTTATTGACTTAGCACTTAACTGGTGAAAATCTATAGATTGTTGTGATGAGCTGTGTAATTCATTCTGTCTAGATTAGACTTTAGAAGCTTAAATGCATCAGAAACAATGTTTCTTCTTTGTTTTAATTTAATTAATACACTTGGTGTAGCAGGCACTGTTATAATTTATGGCTAAAAGTTTTGTAGTTTGAGATTCACTCAAGTCTTTGAACCCAAGAGATTAACTATCATATCTAATAAAAGAGTAATATGCAAATTAATAATCACTCCACTTCACCCATCAGCCAATCAGAGCGAGTATGCAAATTAATCTCAAACAAGATGGCTGTCACCACAGAGAGCAGGAGGGAGGCTTGAGTTTCCTCTGAATGGAGGAAGCCAATCTTTTCACACACCCTGGTGGGCTCCGGCCTCCACTCAAGGGTACAAAGTTTCAATTATATAAGACAAATAAATTCCAACAGAAATGGCGGCAGCCACTGAGCAGGAAGAGCAGGAGGCTAGGGTTGCCCCGGACAGCGGAGGAAGCCAAGCTTCTGCAGCCCTGGCTGGCTTAGGCCTCCATTTCAGGCTACAAAGTTTCAATTATAGAAGATACATAAATCCCAACATAAATGGTTACTGCCACTGAGCAAGCAGGAGGCTTGGCTCTGCTCCAGGCTACGAAGTTTCAGTTGTAGAAGGCAAATAAATTCCAGATACCAGGACCTCCACTTGGGCCACCGGGGAATGTGGCTGGCCTGCAAACCACCAAAGGCCCCTCTCCCAGGCCATCCCATGCCCCAAGGGAACCCCCACCCTGATCTGGGACACCCTTCAGGTTAAACCACATGTGCACCAGGCCTTTATCCTATCTAATAAAAGAGTAATATGCAGATTGACCATCACTCCAACACACAGTAGCTGCCCCCATGTGGTCAAAGATTCTGCCTCCATGTGGAAACAAGATGGCCACCACAAGATGGCCAGCAGGGAAAGGCAGTTAGGGGTGACCAGGCCTGCAGAGGAGGGAAGTTGGGGGCAAAAAGTCTAGCAGGGGAGCAGTTAGACATCAATCAGGCTGGCATGGGAGTGGTTAGGGGGTGATCAGGCTGGCAGGCAGAAGCGGTTAGGGGCAATCAGGAAGGCAGGCAGGTGAGCAGTTGGGAGCCCACAGTCCTGGATTGTGAGTGGGATCTGGCCTAAATGAGAGTTGTATATTCCTCGAGGGGTCCCATATTGGAGAGGCTGCAGGCTGGGCTGAGGGACCCACACACACTCCCATGCATGAATTTCGTGCATTGTGCCTCTAGTCCTAAATAATTTCCCTTGAGAATTTTTACTTTTTAGAATGTTTTAATTTTCTAATTGATGATATTTTATTCCAAGGTCTGGTTAGAGTTTTGTGAACTGAAGTATTCAAGAATATCATTCAGATCTGCTTTTTAGCAGATAAAATGCCCAGAGACACACATGGATGCAAGTGCTATAGAATAGAAATTGTGCAGCCACTTGAATAAAAGTTATCCCTGGGTACCAACTGTAACTAGGAGAAATAACTCCAGCACCAGTATGGGTATCATCTGAGCCATGAATCAGAATAATACACACATATACTTCTAATATGGATTTCATCCCCGTTCTCAAATTGCTGTTGTACTCTCCCTTTCTTATTCAGTTAGACATATTTTCTAATGAGAGGATTCAAGCCTTTCATAACACTTCTCTCAAATTTTTTTTTTTTTACATTTTTGCAAGTGTGATCTCAGTATATGCAAATCACACCACAGAACTCTTCAAAGTAGACACACATTTCCTAAAGAATACAATTATAGAATTTCAGTGTACCCTTGCCTTAGGGTTTTCATCGCATCTTCTTCATTCATTGATTCAAGTGCGGATTGGTGCAATTAAAATAATTTACTGAACTCTTACTCATAGATTACAGTAAGGATACGTTATTATATCAAAAGCACCTAAAACAGTGTTTGGGTATTTAGTAAGCACTCAATAAATATTATAATCATTGCTGTTTTTGACAAAGACTATAGAGATTGGGATGATGGGTAATCTTTCAGAGAAATTATCCTAGAGATGGGATGTTTGAAATGAACTCTGAAACAGGGAGAGGAACATGCCAGACAGAAGAAAAATCAGGTGCAAAGACAGTAGGAACTTGCTATGTGCAAGGAACTGAAAGGAAGCAAATATGGTTTGAAAAGAATAAGAAAAGGCTGGTAGAAGCTCAGAAATCATCTGAGGTTCTGATTTTCATGAAGCAGGGAGTGACATGATCAGAGGTCGATTCCAAACCTTTTCTCTGTCCCTGGGTTGAGGTGCACAGAAGTCACAATTGGATGGAGGGAGAGGGATGTGCAGAAACCCTACTAGCCCCTATTTTTGTTCCAGTGTTTGACATGCTGGTGATAACATATTTGTTTCCAATAATTCTTCCCAACTTACCATGACTATAGTATTATATATGAATTAAAACTTTCCATTTTGTCAAATTTTGTTTTCTGCTTAGTGATTTCATTTAAAATTTACCTATTTTGATTTGTTTTTTACCTGATGGTACAGGCTAATATGCCTTGAGGTTAATACTAATAAATATCTGTTGAATAATTCCCACAGAACTATTACTGGTGAAGAGAAATATACATAAATTGGTTTAAAGGGAAAATTAGTGGAAACAAAAGCCCACATAACTTTATCATGTACCCTTATCTCCAAATAATTGTACATGTCTTTTGCTGGCAGTTAAACAGCCAGAGCTGAGTTTGACACCTGGATAGAAGGATGGTGGGAGATTCTTGCAGGAAGTTGGCCACTTATGTTATAGGGCCAATCCATTGGGTTCTTCATGACCTTTTTATCTCGATGGCTAGACTTTTGGCCAAGGACCTGCAAAGTCTCCTCAATGGCAGCATCCCGTATTCAGATCTTGTGTTTTCTACCCATGCTATCGCAGCTGAATAAAGCCAACCCTGACTTTCAGGGGAGTCATTTATAGAAAGAGTGGTGCCTCACTCAAAAGTGTAAGTACTCCATCATCAACTCCTGCCGTGGGAGCTTGTCCTGATTAGAGAGGACTCTCTTCACCTTACCTTTCATTCTTTCAAGAAAGACGTTACAAGTTTTGGGACACAGACCAAAAAACTAGTCATGGAGGTAGTATACTGCAATCGTTCTCTTTTGGTGTCACTCACACTGGTTCTGCCTTCCATCAATGAGGAG